TCGCGTGACGAGTCTAGTGCGCTAGCGTATTAGCGTGTTTCTACCCGCTGCACAGGTCCGGCGCCGACTACCTCGACCGTCCCACCCACCTGGGACCGTGCAGAATGGCTCTGTGTCGGACCAAAGGCAGCCACAAGGCAGCCTGTCCCTCACAGTGTCCACAACGCCGGTGGGGTCCCCTCGGATGAGGGGGCGGGGGCGGCACAACCGTCTTTCACATTGCCCTCGACGACTGGCAGAGCCGGAGCCAACCGCACCGACCACAGCCCGACCAGTAGCCAGGAAACTACCCCGCTGGGCGGGGGCCTGGTTGGGCTGTGCGAGGTGCGGCCCTCTCGGAGCCACGAGTTGTACAAGTTCATTGACTCCGAGCGCATCTTCTACCCGTCCGACGACTCGCTCCTGCCGGGACCCGGGCCGACCGGTACCGAAGGCAGTCGAGCACCAGGACGAGGAGGCGCCGTTCTGGCGTCGCCCGTCCCCAACAACTCCGACATGGACATCTTCGTTGGCGGCACGCCCGCAAACGAGACCATCACCAGTCTCTTCTCGCGCGACACCTCGTCGGCGGGCGGCCTCTGGGACCTCTCCGACCCGCTGGGACTGGTGATGGCAAAGCTCCCGGGAGATCTCTTACTCGCCGGCCTCATGGCGGCTTACACCAAAAACGGCATTTTCGCTTCCCTGTTCATTTTACACAGCGTCTCCGCCGCGCCCAAGCCTTGGTACTACGCGCTCTACGTTCCAGGGTCTGGTTGGGGCGTCTTTTCCACGTGGGACCTCTGCGCAGCGCACGGCGCCGTCGGGGGCTCGAGGGCGCGCCACAAGAAGTACCGCGACATCCAAGAGGCGCTCGACCACATCAACGTGCACTACCCAATCCCGACCTCGACCCAGATCCTACTCGACTTCTGGTACCCGTTTGAAGGGGAGGCAACGCCAGCCCATCCCGGCGTCCTTCTCCAACCCGTCGTCCTGAGCCCCGGCACGATCACCACCTACGCCCAGCCAGGCGACGGCAACGGCGCCGCTGCGTCGTCATCTGCTGCGTCGTCCTCGACGGCAACCGGCAACGGCGCCACTGCGTCATCGTCGGCTGCATCGCCCTCGACCTCGCCCGGCGACGGCGCCAGCATCGAAGAGCTCGATCCATCGACATCCTCCCCCATCGACCGGCCGCCGAGGCGCAAGCGCCGGTTCGAACCGCCTCTCGACTGCCAGACAGCATCGGCCCCGCCGTCGCCGCCGCCGGTGCCACCGTCGTCGCCACCGCCACCGCCGCCACCACCGCCCCCCTCGCCGCCCCCTCCTCCTCCCTCGCCGCCGCCGCCAGCGCCGCCTTCCCCACCGCCACCCCCCGGCGGCGACGCGTTCCCGGCCAACCTCTTCGCCCCGACTTACTTCGGCGTCGTCCGCCCGGCGCCGACACAAGAATCTGGCTCGCTCGTCCGCCCTCGCTCACCACTCGCGGACGCTGCTGCCAAGGGCGACGCCTCCCCGCCCAGCGGCAAAGCGCGGACGACCTTCGGAGGTGCGGGCGATCCCAAGGGCTCGTCCAAGGTGCTGAAGACACACCACGACGACACGTCGGACCCTTTGTCCTACGCCGACGCCACCGCTGGCAAGAAGCGTGACAAGAAGCGCGCCGCATCGACTGCCCTCGACAAGGCGGCGGAGGAGGAAGCCCTCGCTAAGAAGCACAACGCATCGTCTGCCCTCGACGAGGCGACGACCGACGACGAAGCCCTCGCCGCCGGACAACGCCTCGCCGACGCCGAGCGCGAAGTACTAGAGCTCAACGCCGCAGACTCGCCACCACCGCCGCCGCCGCCCGAGTCCGGACCGGATCCAGGTGGCCCGATCTCGCCGCCGCCATCGCCACCGCCGCCACCGCAAGGACAGGCGTCCGACGACGGCGAGCAGGGCACGGGCGACGACCACGAACCCGCCATCGCCCCGGCGGACGACGGCGCCGACGCCGATCCGGCAGACGCCGGTGCGGCCTTCCTAGACGCCCTTCCTGCGCCTCCAGAGCATGTCGACACCACGACGGGTGAGTCCACCTCGGAGGGCGACTTCGACATCGACGAGGGGCCATCTCCCAGCGCCTCAAGCGCCGAGATGGAGGCAAGCCCCCGCCGTCTTACAGTGGCCACGACAGCGA